CCGTTATTCAACAATTTTTGCCCAGTATTGTATACTTGACTTGAATGACTACGGGCCACTAATATGTATGTCAAATTTTAAACGTTAGACATTATTTATCTTTTCCAATTTAAAATGGAAGACGACCTTATAGAAGCCTTTACTGAGGTCGTAATAAACAATAAACCTACATCCATACTTGGGCCAGTTTTCGAAAACCTTCAAAATGGTGAGCAAGAACCCGAAGCTCTTGCTCAGTGCGTTCTTGATGTTATATGGTACATTGATAGTACCATTATTGACGGCGTAAATGACAAAGCGACCGAAAACGATTGTCGTCGAAATCTCATTAATATTGTCAAATATCTTCACGTAAGCATTTACCGATTGTTGATTTTTAAAGGAAAATCAATTTTATAATTTAGTTTTTTTGTAATTTTGTACAAAGATACAAGCTTGTAATGAGAACTATATATAGCGATTTTGGGTTTGTCAATTACAAGACGTCACAAACTTGAAATGCGTTTTGTCATGTAACGTCTCGACGAACATTACATTTATATTATTATCTTTACGAATTTTGGTAGTTTATACCAATAACTTTCTTTGATTTTAAAGGCAAATAATATCGTCGACACCAAAAGTATGAAGACGAAATTAGATATTTCCCTACTAGAAAATGCCGGTGTCGTAGAAGAGAAAACTTTTGGCCGACGTTGTGTGAGAATTAACACAGCAATGCTGTATAAACAACAAAAATATAATCTTGCCCGTGAAGAATCCGAAGGATACGCAAAATTAATATGCGAATTAGCAATGTGTTGTGATTCTATATACAAAGAAGACGATGTATCTCTAAATGCACGTACGCAAAGTATTTTGGAGGCTATTCAAACACTAATAGGTAAATATTAATTATATCTTTCTACTTTATGCTTTAATTATTCAATTAATATTATTTGACGTAAATCATATACATTAATAGGGTTTTTCAATCTGGATCCAAATCGCGTCTTGGATTTAATTCTTGATATATTTATCGTTAACGTGAAGACTCACTATGAATTCTTCATACAACTTTTAAAAAATTCTCCATGGTTACCTGATCCTATGGATGTAATGGAGAACCATGATGAATGGTCGAATGATAAAGGAAACCCAATATGTGCTCAATTATTAGGCATAAAGTACACTCGTTATGAGGGTTCTGACATGATTCCAAATGCATTTTCATATTTATATGTCACCTCCGCTATATTAATACATAATCAAATCGTAAAAATTGCTGATTTATATTCATATATCCTGAAAGAATCTGAAGATAATCCACATGAACATGAAATTGGCCTTGCGTGCGCTCTTCTTGAAATAGGTGATTTTTACCATGCACGCTATATCTTATATCATCTTCCCGAGATCGAAGAATCCATAGCCAGTTGCTTACGTCAGATGATCAATATAGCAATTTATGAACTTTATGCTCCAATCGCTCCTCGTTTAGTAAAGCGTCTCCAACCTCCGTCCTTTTTTGGTTCTTGGTACAAACGTTGGCGGGAAGGAATACCTGTCATTCACTCTTTCTCAGATCTTATTGAAGGACAAGGACGCCAATTACTACTTTTTATTGGTCCGTGGCTTGCTAGAGATCTTATATTATTTACAAAAATTATGCGAATCACATATCGACACCTAGAGGAATCGAAAAATTCTTCGGATTACGAAATAATCCAAAATAAATGGTTAGACATTATTCGATCCACAATTATGCCTAGCATAGCCATGCCAGATACCACTTGTGGCGTGATAGATGAGTTATGGAACATTATTAAGTTGTTCCCATATAAAACAAGATTTATTATTTATGCTGAATGGAGATCGGCCTATGAAATATATAAACCGTTAAAAGATCAATGTAAAAAGGTTAGTCATGAGACGAAAAAAATCTTGAAAAGGATTACTGAAGAAAATTGTCGTGAAAAAGGTCGTGAACTCGCAAAAATTTCTCATGCAAATCCAGCGATTGTATTCGAAATTATTCTAAAACAAATTCAAGCTTACGGCAATATGATTAATTCGCTTGTTGAAGCTTGTAAATATTTTACCGCATTCGAGTATGATATTTTGACGTACCAGATGTTGGATGTTTTTTCTAGTGATAGAGAAAGGCTCAAGGATGATGGCATGAATATTGGCGATTGGCTTAAACACTTATCTGAATTTTGTGGAAATATGTGCCGAAAATACGAAAAAATGAACCTTTCAAGTATTCTTTTATTCATCATTTGCAGACTTAAAGACCGCAATTCTGTGGATTTATGTGTTCTTTCTCAACTTATTACTGCAATGTCGGGAATTAAATATGAAATGATTCCATCAAAATTTGACGTAGCTCTCATGGGTACTGGTGAACATTTACGGAATATTAAATTGTTTAACCGAAATCAAAAGAATGTCCGTCGTAATTCTTCAAGGTTAAGTCAAACTCTTGTTGAAGAGGGATTTGCTGTAAAGATTGCAGTTTTAATTGCTCAGTTGGCACAAAGCATTCCATATGAGGCGCTTGGTGAAAGTTCTAAACACCTTAAATCTGTTGTTCATCGTATGGATCTTTGTCGTAACACTTACATCCAATATGCTGATTTTTTGGCAATAACTATTGGAATGGATGAATATTCTAAAATTATACCAGATATTGAAAAATTGGTTAAAACATATCATTTACAAATGGAATATGCGTTTATGTTGTTACGGCCAGTATTGAATTATAAGCTGAAACAATATGCAGATGAATCATCTTCAATGGATGTTGACAATGAAACGGTAATATGGCAATCCCCATTATCCAATATAATCGATCAAGTTAGAGCCACTTTACCCTCACATGTATGGAATGGAATTAGTCCACATTTCTTTATTACTTTCTGGCAAATGTCTTTATATGATTTGGAGTTTCCGCAAGAAGAATATCGAAAGGCTAAAAATGATTTATTAAACTCTGCTAACGGTGACAAAGTCCGAGATAAATCAAAGATTATTGATGTCGCCAGACAAATTGATAAAGACATGCGGAAGCATGAACAACACGTGAAAAATGTTAAAAACAGATTGAGAATCGAGAAAGACCATTGGTTCTCTGGACAATTTACTAATCGTCAGGACATTATTACACAGTTTTGGCAGTATTGCCTTTTTCCACGATTAATCACTAGCGCTGATAATGCCGTATTTTGTGCAAAATTTATTGAAACAATGCATGAAATTGGTACTGTTAATTTCTCAACGCTTACACTATACGATCGGATTTTTGCAGACCAAGTACAGCCTTTAATATTCGCTTGTTCTGAATCTGAGGCTCGAAACTATGGTACTTTTCTTCAAACCATTTTAACATCCCTTAGTAAATTACATAAAAATCCGCTGGAGTATGAAAATCGTGGCAAAGGATCTGGAATCCCCGGATTTCAAATGAAATGGTCCGCACATAATCGCCAGCCAGCCAGCATTTCTGAAAACGATCTACTACGATATGAAGATTTTAGGCTTGTCTATTATAAATGGCATTCGAGACTTCTTAGAGCTTTTGAGCAAAACCTTCAATCTATGGAATATTTCTCTGTACGTAATTCGATTATAGCTCTTAATACAATAGTGTCATATTTCCCGGCCATCGACACATTTGGTAAGAAACTTCAAGATGATATTGATAAGATCGTAAAGAGTGAAGAACGTGGTGATATACGAACTTTGGCCTTAAGTTACTCAGCTAAATTAAAAGGAAAACAACAATCTTGGGTTTCTGTTCGATCTTTCCAGAAAGCAAAAAATTCTCCTGCCGTGGATTCAACGCAACATGATGAAAGGTCAGAAAAAGGATCATCAAAGCATGATGAAACCCCTGAAAAAGGACCACAAAAACGTGATGAAAGATCAGAAAAAGGGTCAGCATCACCTGCACAAAGAACCACTCAATCCCCAGTAGTTGCACGTTCTGGTCCTTTATCAAACGTACGAGGTGCACATCCTTCTTCTCCTTCATACTTAACTACTCGAGCCAGTCCACGAATGCAAATACATCCACTGCCTGATAAGCCTATGAAACCGGAACGTGGACAAATTCGCGAAAAAGAACATGAGAGGGAGAAAGAACACGAGAGAGATCGTACCAAAGACAGAAAAGATATGCAGATTGAGCGTGACAAAGAGATCAAGAAAGGAGATCATCATGATAGAGACAAAGAAATCTCTAAAAAGTTAGATCACTATGATCGTGATAAAGAACGAGAACAGGAAAGGGATCGTAAGCAAGAAATTTCACGTAATAGTGATGATAAAAAGGACCTATTAATTCGTAATAAAGAAAGATTAATGAATGATGATCCAAACAAAAGAACTGATCATCGTCCCCGTGATCGTGATGACAAAATTAAGGAAAAAGAGCGTGATAAACGTGACGATAGACGGGAAGAACGTCGCGATAAGGTGAAAGAAAAAGAACGCGAAAAATCCAGAGAACGTGAACGAATGGATGAAGATAGGGATAGACGCGAAAGTGACCGTGGCAAAAGAAAACACACAGAGGAGCCTACAATCAGGCGATCTCGTGACAATGCTGTGGCTCAAAGATTCATAAGTAAGAAAAGAGATCGGACAGAAAGAGATCGAGATGGTGAACCTGAACAAATTCTTTCAAACAAGAGGAGAAATATCGAAGGTATCTCTCCAGTTCTTCGTCCACCCGTTAAACTTACTCGTGCCATGGAACACAACGACTTTGTTGCTCCAATGCCAGGCAAGTCAATTGGTGGAAAGAGAAATGATAAAAGAGATACGCGAAGAAGATACTAATTTTGGTGTAGAAAATCAGATCGTTAGCATTTAGATTTATTATTAAGAATGATTTATTATTCAAAGTTTTTTTATAAACCAAATTCATAATGTATTGCGCTTGTTTTTACACATTGATTTTTAATTTGCATTCAAATTGAATTTAATACTTGTCAATTATGTAAGTAGATTCAAAACAAATTGTATAGATTTATACTAAATTTGTATTTGTACATATATACAAATTTTTAAAAAATACAAAATGTTTATATAAATTATTAAAATTTATACAAAATATTGTATTTTTGTATAAATTTTAATAATTATTTGTTTAATTATATTGGGTTAAATATTTTTTAATAAAAATATATATACAGTTTTTTTAAATTTTATACTACACGTCACTCTGGTTATACCGACAGCTGGATTAACCGACAATTGGTTGTATCGACATTTTTTTTTAAAAAAAACCTGCCATTATTTTAAATTCGCTGGTTATAATAACAATCTTAAAAAGTATTTATACCGACATACCGACAATTTTAATGCTAAAGAATTACCCACATTAATTATTTGTTGCTGTTTATAGCGATATGTTTTTATAAACTGGCTGTTATTATAACTGTACCAATAAAATTAAAACAATCGAAAAGTATTGCACACATGTGATAATTTTTTTTTTGGATACATCTGGCTATTAGTTCCAGATATTAAACTTAATAGCATGCTAAATTACCACCTAGTATGATGTAAGTTTGGAAAAATAACTAATATCTGTAAAATTGTTATCAAATCAAAGAGATCTTATAAAAATTATGCTGGTTAAATCAATTTTATCTATATATGTTGGTATAAAACAAGATGCTTGTTAAACTGATATCTGGATATACTGACAATTTTTTTTTTGCTGAGGAGTGTTGGTATAGCCAGAGTAATATGTATATAGCTGTTATACTGTATATATAAGAAATTAACAAATTTTGAAAATTTTTTTTTTTATCTAAAGAAAATTTTTAAGCCTATAAACATGGGTATTAATTAAATGATTCACAATACAGTATATATATTTATAAAAAACTACTTAATATTAGGGTTAGAGTTATTTTAGAGATTAGGGTTAGAAAGTATTTTATACTAAAATTTTGTATAAATTATTTTTTATTAAATAGTTTTATAAGCAAAATTTTGAGTAATAACAATACCTATTATTTATATTATTATATTACTATATTTTAGCATTGATATAGTTATACAAATTACTATTTATAGTCTAGTTTAAGTCTTACGATTCAAATTTGTACTATTAGATTTATTAGTAGACTTTTTACCATTTTGTAATTGGAGTTATTATTTTTTTTTTTTATCATTAAGAAGACCTCTTTGGCCTGAAAGCTTTTATTAAGATTTGAAATGGTGTTTTATATACAATTACAACAATAGTATATCAAGCTACACATGCACCTTTTGAGTATCTAATTTAAGTAGTCCGCCCGAAGGTTTTACACTATCTGCCGTACCTGCATCCCAACTAGAGGGGTACCCATTTAAACTATTTGGTTATAACTACCACCAGTTAACCACCTAACTCCAAGCTTTCTCACCATTTATATATAGATTTTGGTATCACCCTGGCAAAGGATTACTAACTTCTTTCTAATTAGTACCGTATATTCCCGAAAATAAGCTACTATTTTTGGGCAAAAAATTATACAAAAATTTCGGGAGTAGCTTATTTTCAAGTAATAGAGGTTTTTGACCATTTTTTATTAAGTAAACGTAGTTTTTATATATAAA